GTGCACTAAAAATAAAATTTGGGCCTTCAGAGGCAAGTAAAACCTTGCCAAGAAAACTGTAAGAACAAGTTCAGACAGTAGCCAGGAGTTGACACTGACTCGAAAGCACATACACACATAAAAGAGAAAGGGCAATGCTGAAACTGGTTTTTTTTTTCCAATTCCATCTCTTCAGGTTTTTTGACTGTGTAAATCCTTTTTCTATACTGATTATGCCATTTGGCTCCTCAATGAGTTCTTTCCATATCAATATTGTTGTAAGGTTTAGGCTTTTGAATTTGACTTCAAAACATCACAAGTACAATTTTTATTCTTGATAATCTGTTATTTCTTTCGGCCTCCAACTCCAACCACAACTGTAAAAAGAATATACAAAACAGAATATTTCTTTTAAAAGAACACAAAGGGAAATATTTCAAGATTTATAAAATATGTGTTGTTTACTTAAATCTCTTTTCTCTGATTTCCTCCCCCACCCCCAATTTGTTTTCTCTCTCTCTCACTAAGGTCCTTTTCCTTTTCCTTTAAAAATATGAACTAATGAAAAATTATATGTCTGAAATAGCAGAAAACTGACTTTAAGGACCATAAAGAATTCCATTCTCAGCTTTTCCATGTAGGATAAGAATAATCAGTATATAAATACAAACGTATTGTTTCAACATCTCAATTGAAAAAAGGTACTTTATCTACTTTTCTGGTTACTTCTTGAGGCAAATTGTTCCATAAATTAATTGTTCTAGCTGTCAAGTTCTAAGTTGGTTCTCTCCTTAATTAGTTTCCACCATTGCTACTTGTTAATATATTATGATACCGTTCTTACTAATTTTAATGAGTATCAAATTTTGCATTTTTTAAATTTTGGATCTCAGAAAGTGTTCACACAAAAATGTTTATTTACGTCTGCTGGCAATTATTAAGTTACTGCTTAATAATTATTAACAATAGTTATAATTTCTGGTTACTGCTTATGTAAAAGAAAAGACAGCTCATAATCATACGGATGATATTTTCTTGGAAAAAAATAAAGAGAAACTTGAAAAAAAGAAAAAAGCTGAAAATGGTTTATAAGGAAAAAAGAAGAATGTTTATATTTATAACTTTGCTTTACAAAGGAAAATTAAGAGCAAAACTGAGAAAATAAATAAATAATCAAATCAAATTTTATGAAATAAAGATCTGGCTTTTATATTAAAGAATATGTTGTCACTTTTAGTCATAATCAAAAGTTTTCCAGATGTACTTTTTAATATAAGTACCGTGATACAGCAAATAATTTTCTTTTATGTACTTTCAAATACAAGTATAAAGTCATCTCATTATATAGAAAGTCTAATCATTGAATATATTTTTAGAATGATTGATCAATATGGATCATAAAATATTTCAAAAATATTCTATTCTTCTTTTATCCTATCCTTGATTCTTGATTCTTCAGCAATGTGGGAATTTGGGGATGATGATCCTTGCTGCTGATATGATTGGTGCTTTGAGAAATAACTGTATCATTTCATACAATAGCCATATTGTGTTGTATGTTAAGAGATATAACCAGCCATGGAGAAGGAATGCACAAGCATGCCCATGTTATTGTTAGATTTATATGTCATTTATATATTTTTAACACTGACGACAATATACATAAAGCTTCCAACTCCTAGTTTCTCCACATTAACAACCCTGTGAGGTGGGTTGGCTGACACTGACTGTCCTGTTTCTGACTCACCTATCCAGGCTTGTGATCAAGTGAGGATTAGAATTCACAGTTTTCCAGTTTCTAATTCAGGACCTTAACCATTGCAACAAACTATTAGCAAAAATATGGAACAAGTGAAAAGTGAACTGATATACCTACTTTGTCACTGACATTTTCAGAATGCTGTTTTCACTTCCCAATATAGTTTACAACGCTAACCTACCATTCAATTAGTAGCCAAGTTTTGCCTTCCTTAACTTAAATGTAGTTTATATAATACAACCTACTATGACTTTCTCTTATAGGCACATTTTAAAAACCACTTTAATAATTATATAAACATGACACTAAGTGTGGTGTTTCTTCTGTAAATAATTTGGAGGATCCTGCTTTTGTCTGAAATGAGTGGTAACCAAATGCCTTATAGGAATTTGTGTACATAGGCCTAGTTTTCAACTCCTGGCAAGTGTCTGGAATATTCCCTGCAGTTTTCTTGTAAATGGTTTGAAATTGTCTGTTTTCCAGGCCTTAAGGTAGAGCTAGAACTCAGGGTCTCTTAATTAGAGGAAATATATAAGTAAGAAGACATACCAGTCATTCAATGTAAGTTTAAAACTACTGTTAAAAATTCAGGCATGAAGATATAAGGACATATTGTTGAAATCATATTTAATAAAATTATTCTCATGCTTAAAAACACCATAAAAGGAATAAATAAAGTTAACAATGTTGGAGTCTTTCCTCAAATCATCTTTTTTATTTGTCACATTTATTTTCCATTAGGTTTCTGCCACTTTCAACATTATTATCAATCATTTTTTGGCTAAATGTTTTTGAAAGCTCAAAGAACCATATAAATTGGTATTGCTGTTTGACCTCTCAGAATCAAGGTTAATGGAAGCTCTTTGCTGTCAGGAAAAAAGCTTCAAGCCAAAGTAATGTGTCAAAGGCAGCCAGTCAAAAAACGGTCCCAACAACAAACAAAAAAAGAAAAGAAACACTATTTAATGTAATACAAAGCAGATCAATCATTTTGGAATGCCTATACTTGAGAATTTTACACTTCTGATTTAAGGGTTGATTACTTGATATCATTACATCTTAATTCTTCACAGCATACCTGGAAATGACTTATTTTCAAAGATGAGTATACAATCGGTGCTTAGGTAGTGATGTTTTTTAAAAAAAATATTAGGCTGAAATGGGAAGGGAAATATAAAACATTTACCTGATAACTTTTATCATGTGTCAAAAAAAGAAAGCATTGACATAAACAACTGCCCAGTAAAATAAGATGATTTGGAGGTTTGTACTGGATTTCAGATATTTGACTGTAGGTATGGCCCATATAGGATTTTTCAGTTATAAATCAGCTGCATCACCCAATAACTATATTAGTATAATACTATATGGTGCCAAATTTTTTAAATTTTATTTTGGCAAATTTTGTATCCTGCCCTTTCTCCTTTTGGCTTGAATATGGGTAAGATTGACACTTAAATTACACCCTGAGGAAATCCTGCATTATCTAGCAGGTTGTAAATTGTTATACATTACTTTACTTTGGTTTAATCTTGTGTAATCTTACCGAAGCCAATAAAATAAATAGAGCCTGATGCCAACTTCCTTATGTTAGTCATATCTGTAACCCATTGCTTATATGACAGCAGCTGTCCTAGCAATTTGTTCAGCCACCCATATCTCAAGATGCCAGAAGCTTTACCTAGAGCCAAGGTGGCGCAGTGGTTAAATGCAGCACTGCAGGCTACTGCTAGATCAGCAGGTCAGCGGTTCAAATCTCACCGGCTCAGGGTTGACTCAGCCTTCCATCCTTCCGAGGTGGGTAAAATGAGGACCCAGATTGTTGGGGGCAATATGCTGACTCTCTGTAAACCGCTTAGAGAGGGCTGAAAGCCCTATGAAGCGGTATATAAGTCTACTGCTATTGCTACCTAAGATTTTATTCATAACATATACTATGCTCCATCAGAGGGATTCTGTTTTAAAGGTATTGTACTATTGTATTCCCCTTTTAGAAATGGTGCTCAGGATAACAATTGTACTTGCAGTTCATTTGAGCCTAAGAGGTCTTACACTATCTTTTTTACATGGCAGTTGAAGAATATGTTGGCTTATATCTTGTTCATTATGGACAGCTTTCTCCAGTCCCTGAAACTTCTCTGGCAATCCCAAGGGAAGATGCCATGAAAAAACTCTTCCTGTGGGATTTTTAATAACAGGGACTAACCTGGGAGACTTCCATGAATAAATTTATAGCAGAAAACAGCATCAACAACGGCTGCAATGTTCACAACTTTTAGGAAATTTAGAAAAAGCTCAGCAGATAAATCAAGCATTCTTCACTGCTGCTGTTCCATAAAAGCAATATTGTACATTAGTTGTGTTCTAGTGCTGACCCATAGAGTATTTGGCTACCCATCCCAAGTTGTTAGGAAGAGTCCACAAAAAAAGTACATGATCGATAGGTTATACTTGTAGCTTGCCCACGGGATAATAACATTACTTTTTATCAATTAGAGAAATAATTGCCAGATCAATGTAGGTCCATCTTCCCCATACTGTGAAAAGTGACTTGCAGCTTTCTAGGATTTCATCACATTACTGGAGTTAACAAAAACCATTTACAAGGAAGGCATATGCTTAATTGATCCCATGTAATAGAATGACCTAGCAACTGGCACACTAGGTTGCCCCAAAGTTCTTGATGTCACAAAGAATGGTGCACAGTCATTGGGATTCATGAGATTTCTAGGCATGCCATCTCTGCCTTGGAACTACAATTCCTAAGCACCACCAAAACAATACCAATAAAATCTAAAATTAATTATCAGTCACTAAAATTTATAATTAGTGGTTCATTCATTTGATTGGGATGGAAAGAATAATTATTTTTAATATGCATTTACACACTCCCTAAATTAAATACAGGTTTTGTGCAATCTTCCAGTGTTGGTAACTATAACTCCCAGAACATTTAATTATTGGTCATCCAGAGGCATACACATTTCCCAATTACCATAATAAAATCCCATTGTATATCTAAAAAGAACCCTAACCAATTCCTTTTTTTCTGGAAATGAGACATGGAAAATCCTATCACTCTGTCAAACTACTTGCCAGCTCTTCCTTTGAATTTCATAAAAAAAGAACAGATTGATCATAATGCAAAATTGCACCTGTTTGGCTTTAGGTAGGAAGCATTGCCTACTCAGCAGCTCCTACAGTTTTGGTGCTCTTGGGAATCCTTGTGTCTGAAAGGCAAAATATAAAATTAAGCAATTATTAATAGCAATAATTTATCATGACAAAGCCATAGATTTCTGCCTCCTGCTGGAGACCAAAATCAGACAATGTAACAATTGATTATTTTATTGCACAATCATAACCATAGGCCATATTGATTAAATGCTGATCTGAGAAGCTTGTGCATAAAAGTGAGAGACTAAAAAACAATTACTATATTTACCACTTTGGATTCACCTTCCCTAGTATGGGACAGCTTTCTGCAGCTTATTCAGTACAGGCTTCTCGCCCACTGTATCATTTATGTTTAGCTTTTTTGACGGGCGTTTGGGTGAACATACTATGCATCATAGATATTTAGCATGGAATGAGAGTTAATATTTGTATTAAGAAACACATTCCTTTTCGCTTACATTTTCTTATACATTACTAACAGCTTATGCTGGACTTTATACAACAATATAGTTTCTTGCTTGGGTTTTTTTATTACTATTCAGCTGTCCCTTTAATTTAGACAAATCTTATGAACAGCCATTTTTACTAGTTTCAGGTGTCCTGTGCTCTATGTAAATTTTCACAACAGAATAAAAGAATAATACATTTCCCTAGTTTGTTGCAGAGAAATGCACTACTGAATAAAACTGCATCTCACATCTCTTTTGGTGTTCTATGACATTCTTGTCTAAACTGCCTGTGATTGACTGTATCATAAAAAGGTTTTAGGAAGATGGATAATATCTATAGTGGTTGAATTTCTATTTGTTTTGCCTTACTTCAGCCTGCTATATTTCTATATAATCAGACAAGTCATGCAAAATAATAATTGCTGCAAGAAGATCAGACAGACTGACTACAGACAATGGCATAACAGCAATGGTGCTTCGGAATATCTGCAGGAGATACCATGGCGGGATCACAAAATAGACAAAAACAGAAAATGAGCATGGGTGCCAAAAGTCCTCAAATGCTTCCGGGCTTTAGAAGTCAAACAGATAAGAACCTGCCATGTAACATTTCAGATTTAACAAGTGTTGATAAAAAAGACAAAAAACTTTGAAGACAAAAGAATTGAAGAGAAAGAACTAGAGAAAAATCACCAAATACAAAGACCTGCAAATAGTGTTTTGACTGAAGCAAACAAAAGCAAAACTAGTACCAGTACAAAGATAGATACTATTAACAGGTGCCTTGGTGCAATCCCAAAATATCTGGAGCACCGCCAATGCCATCAGTATTGACAAAATCACCATCTTTCAATTGCAAAACAACATTTGCTCCCTCAGGTCCTTAGGAAGAACTTGATAGGTGGACAAAAATATAAAACTGGCTAACTAGGCAACCAACCAAAGCATATATTTTATATCCTACCACAAATAGGAAGGAAATATGAATAGAAATAAATTTGTATTCCTGCTACCCTTCCATCACTTTTAGGATTAATAAAGTTATTTCAGACTTCTTGAACTGAGTTGAATGTGAAGGTTTTGTGGAGAATACTACATTGTATTTTTATTATTTTATTTTATTTTTAGTAGTGATAATTATTGTGATTAATAACCTTTATATATAGCCCAAAAGTATTTCCAACCTTCCTTTCTCATATCCAATTATTATTTATCATATCAACTCCACATTATATACATTACTATCAATATCAATTATTATTCAGCTATATCTATTACAAATAAGAGTAATTAGATTTAGCTAATTTTAAGTTGTATTCTTCCATCTGTCAGCCTATGTCTCTCCAATAACAAAACTTTCTCAGTCCTATTGCCATTCGTTGAATAGATTTACCAAATGTTTTTATAAGCAAGTCCAAACAGGGATATCTTCGCACCTTTTTGCTCAGGATGTCTCTGATGAGATAATAATGTTGTCCCAGGCTTGTTAAACTTTTCAAATTGACTTTAATTCTCAAGGGTGGAATTTTCATTTCTCCTGCGCTCTGTCTCTTAAAATGAGTCTTCTTTATAGCTCCCCCTCTTTCCAGCATAGCATTCCTTTCTTCCTCCGAGATAGACCAGACGTCATTTCTCACATTTTTCATTTGTATTTCAGGAACATTCAAACATTCAACGTTCTCACCTTTTCCTTCATATTTTAATGTCAAATAATCCAATTTTTTTTCAAATCTTTGATATGAATCAAACAGCTTCCGAAATGCGGAAAAAAGAATCTGAAGCGAGCCCTTGGGAGTATAATTCGACACCATGTTGTGTTGCAGTTAGAGATTCTAAGGTATTTGCAAGTAAAAACACACTGGGAGCTGTGCGATCTTATCTGATCTTAGACCAACACAGCCAAGCAATAAAAGTGTCAGATCATGAAGGGCCAATTAGTAGTAGGTTAGTTTTTACAACCCACTTAGAAAGAGTCAGGGGGGAATGTTGAAGAATTCCTTAAAGCGTTTAAGAAATAGGGTAACCACCGGCCATAAATCCATTAAAAAAAAACCAATTCGCCGCTAGATTCTTCTGTTCTTTGGTTTCAATTAGCTTAAATTTTAGTGCGGACCGTCTCTCTTTGAGTAATAAAATCAGCTTACCAGTTGAATCCACTTAGACCATTCTTAGGGGCAACCTGCAGTTTCAGTTAGCATACAGCTAATCCAGAAAGGAGTTGGCAGGAGGGGTTAATTCCAAGCCCCCCCAGAGACTTTGCGAACGTCTCTGAGGTCACTGGATCTCCCCTCACCTTTCACTGTCTTCTCCGGGACAGCTAGGGTCCGATGACCCGTCCAAAATTCCTCCGGAATAGAGGAATTTCAGGAATAGCCTGAAACTCCGTCTTCTCACTGCTAAGCCCCGCCTTCTTCCCCTCAATTATTGTATCTTTTCTGTAGGTGCTCAGCAACTTGGATGCTGCCAATATTTTCTTCTGCCCACAGCCATAGATGTAGTTTGGGTTAAGAGAAGATGAGTGCCTCAGAACTATCCTGGTGGACTTCTATGCCTGAGGATAGAGTTGATAGCTATTTTTTTCTATTTCAGTCCAATGTCCAATTTTCTACATCATTATGGCTTAACTCTTAAATACTCTTAAATTATTAAATATAAAATAATATTTAAACTATATTAGTTAGTCATTATGAGTTTTGTATAGACTAATCATGCTACTGTTTTACCTTAAAATTGAGACAATAGACAATTTTAACTATCTCTGACTCTGTTCATTTCTACAATATTTCATTGACCAATGAAGATATTGCCAGTCTAATTTATCATGTCTTGTTCTCCGGCATGGTGGAATTGTGTTATTTCCTGGGTGCATCCAATCATAATTCATAAAATGATAACACTGCCCCAGTGGTGATTCATTTAATTGCAATTATAATTGGACCTGTGCAAGTCAACCTTTCGTATTTTGTACAATGAAGGTGACAAAAATTTTCCTCACCAATTAATTTTGCATTATTTCATTCTCCATTACCATGCACCAGCATTTAACTTATTCTGCATGTGCTTTCCAGTAATGTAAACGCATGGGATTTTTTTTGTCTTAAAACAATCTTTTGTACATGGGGATGGATTTCTGAAATGAAGAAAATAAGACGAAAAAGCTAAATCTTCAAATACTGTGATCCTAATCCAAATCGTGATCTTTTCATTATACAGTAAGTAAACTAACTAACAAAGAATAAACTTTGGAGACAGAAAAGGTCTGCTGTAGGCCAGTCAAAAGCAAAGTAGATTTTTTCCCCATGAATGTTATTTGCTTCATCACCTTGAATCCCCTTGATGATAACAATTTGCATGGTCTCAAACGTCTCTGAGCCAATGCTTCAAAAAGAAGGTTTCTTCTGCCTCAGTGTTAACTGAAATGCTCCCAGGCTGAGTGATTTCATATGCCACTCAGCATGCACTGGAGTCTAGAGTGCTAAAAAATATGCCACCCCTTTTCTTTCTGTAATTTAAGGGCATGTTTCTTATCAAGCAAAGAAACACATAAATTATGAGTCACGCCTCTTTCTCATCAATTCATTGCTTTTACATAGATCAAGTTTAAGGGCTTCTAATTTCATTCCTTTGAACATATCTTCCAGATTTTGGCTGAGGAGAAAATGTGTGGTTTCTGAATTGGCTAAGGAAAACTAAATACATTTATTCTTTATCCATCCAAATGCTTTGCGGATGGCAGGCAAGAATGGAAAACAATTGTTTTGGAATGTTTGGCTCTGTATGGTTTGGAGCCTGACCAAAGCAGCTTCTAGTCATAGAAAATAAATCTTCTAACTTCAATCCCATACCTAAAAGAATAAGAAGAAAAACTTGCTTAAGAGGTTCATTTTCAAAATGAAGATTATAAATATTTCTTCTTGAACTTATTCAAAATGTTCTAATGAAATGCATATTGATTTTAATTTCAGATGACATCAAAATGTATTGATCTTTGAGGTAAATATTAATCTCTTCTTTGGCATAAATCAATGTGGATGCCTGGTTCAACAGAATCAATATCAGCTTAATTTGCAACAAAGTTAATTATACTGTTACAATGTTTTACATGTCATTCATATCTGAAACAGATTTCAAGTATTTATTGTTTAAAATGCTTAGGCAGAGAAAAGCTACTGCTTAGGGTCACAAACTCCAATGTAGATACAGACATATAAACACATTTCTGATTTTCATTTCATTTGTGTAAATTTTTGCTACTATGGAAAACCTATCCTCCCTCCTTTTTCTCCCACTCCAAAATAATTAGAACATTCAAAAAATTAGCAAAAGTGGGAGCTGTAAAGTATCTCTTAGTGACATACACATGTTTGTTTAAAAATGATAGCTGTGATCAGGCTACTCTTAGATTGTCCCAAATATGATTTTTCAGGAGGCAACTGGGTTTTCTTGTGTTTCTTTGAAGATGTTTCGCTTCTCATCCAAGAAGCTTCTTCAGCTCTGACTGGATGGTGGGAAATGGAAGGATTTATATTCCTTGTAGACAGCTGGTCATTTGCATTCTTTTAGACACTCATTGAGGCCATTTGGAGGTTTACCTGTGGCCTCAGGTATCTGAGTAGTGCAAATATACTGTATGTGGAGTCTTCTTGGCTGCAAGATATTTTCTGCCATGTGTCCCTTTACTGTTGAAGACAGGCCCAGGCTGTTGAGCATGAGTCTATATTGTTTAAGTTTAAGTTTACTTTATTGTCATTGCGCTTCATACAACAAAATTAAATGCCATCTTCAGTGTACATCATACATAAGAAAATTATAAAAAATAAAACAAAAACACATATTCTTCACATGCTACACAATTGAATTAAAAACCCCTGATACTACATTAATATTGCATTATACCTGTGATGGCGAACCTATGGCACGCATGCCACAGGTGGCATGTGGAGCCATTTGTTAGGGCATGCGAGGCTTTACCCTGTCAGCTCCAGTGTGCATTTGCGCACTGGCCAGCTGACTTTGGCTTTGTTTTGGGCCATTTTTCACCCTCCGGAGGCTTCCCTTCCTGGGGAAAAACAACTCCACCTGCAAAACAGAAGTTCGGGAATGGACTCCGGTTTGTGCATTGGGGCGTTTCTCGCCATCCGGAGGCTCCAGGAGGTGGCTGTTCCCAAACTTCTGCTAGTAGGGTCTCCATGGGGATGGGGGGGGGGCATTTTCACCCTCCCCAGGCTCCTAGAAAGCCTCTGGAGCCTGGGGAGGGTGAAAAATGGGTCCATTGCATGCCAAAAGTGGGAGAAGGGCAGGGGTCACACTTGCATGCCTGCGGGGGGGGGGTCATGGGCATTGAATTATGGGTGTGGGCACACCCATGCACAATCCCCTGCACTCCCCCCCCCACTTTTGGCATGTGATGGGAAAAAAGGTTAGCCATCCCTGCACTATACAGTAGAATAGTTTGTCTGCCTCAAAACTGAAGCACAAATGGTTCCTGTATCTGCAATGTTTTCTGGAAGTTCTGTTCATACTCCCGCACCATTTCAAGGGTGTTCATCCTTTAAAGTGCATAGCCAAATCTCTATGAAGAGTCTAAGTCATCCAGATCAAGGTTGTCTCAAAGATGCTTTTTCAGGAGGCAAATGGGTCTTCTTTGAAGACATTTTGCTTCTCATCTAATAAGTTTCTTCAGCTCTGACTGGATAATGGAGAGTGGAAGGATTTATATTCTTCCATTCCCCACCCTCCAGTCAGAGCTGAAGAAGCTTCTTGAATGAGAAACAAAACGTCTTCAAAGAAAAACGAGAAAGTCCACGCCTCCTGAAAAAGCACCTTTGGGATAACCATGACCTGGATGAGTAAGAATCTCCATAGACACTACTCTGAGGTTGTTCCACTAGATACATTGAAATTTTCTTCTCAGAAATATCAATGACATGAAACTACAGTATATCTGTGTGGTCAGAATTATCTACCGGTATATACATTTTTATATTAGATTAATGTTCATTCATTCAAGTGGAATCTAATCAAGTGCAGATACGTATATATATTCACATCCTAACAGAGAGAACAAAAATAGAAATTGCTGTGCAGATTGTGTGACCATTTCCCTTACCTAATGTAAGCAATATTAGATTGTCTCTGTTTCTCTGTGTCTCTTTCCAGGATGAACACTTTTATGAGACTGTCAGTCTGAGATCCTTATACCAGTTCCTTATCATGAGCTGGAGAAGAGAAAGAATCAAATCTTTAACCTTTCCTTATATTCAGGACTGTACAGCAGCTGGAATGAAAATAATGTAGGAAAGGAAAGTTTGGAATTCTGCTTGTTTCAACTTTGCAACTTTCAGCATCCCTCACTTTGAGACTGTTGGCCGGAGATGACCCATTTTACCAGATACTTCTGGAGGCTGGCAACATCTGTGTTTAATGGCTCTGTTATAGGAGTACAACTATTTCAACTATTTTACTTTTAAAAAATGATACTAGGCCTTGTTTAAGCTAAGAGAAGAAATTGTCCATTTGATATTCCAATAGTCTGCTACAATTACCAGAGAAGAATGGGATATACTGCAACAATTTTCACCTCAGCAGGATGCAACAGTTTTTACCTTCCTGGTACACAAAAAATTAAAATATATAATTTTCCCCTTGCCTCTATTTCCTTTTCTTGCCTTTTAATTTGATTTTTTTTGTCTTCTTGATGGTCCATTTTTTCTAAGTGAAGAAAACAAAAGCTTGTTGTATTGGACCTTATTTATTTTTGCAACAGAAATGCTAGCCACCATGAACTTGAGAATTCAATTAGGCTTTTGATATGTAAACCTATTGCTGCATAAAGGAAATAGCTAACCATCAAGAACATTTCATGATTGTTACTCTTTTTATAAAATGGTTTTAAATTCAGGCATGAGTGGCCTAAAGTCCTTCAAAGGTTGATGCATAGAGTTTCCAGTATTATTTAACATTGGCAATGCTGATCAGAAGTGTTATTTGATCAGAATTGTATTTTGATAAGATTTATGGTTCCATAGCTTTCCTATCATTTTTTCAAATGCAAAACCTAGTGGGCCCTATAGAAAAAAAAGTATGTATTTATAATCACATAGATTTTGAATGTTTGATCAATGATAACAAATGTTTCTTTAATGTATTGCTGATACATTAAAGTGTGTCTGTTTCTGGAATAAAAATATAATACATGATAAATCAATAGACATCAGCAAGGATATCAGCAAGGAAATTCTTTTTTTTTAAAAATCTGACCATTTACTTTTCAGCCGTCCCATCATCTCCTTTCCCTCCTTCCTTCTTTCCTCCTTCCTTCCTTCCTTCCTTCCTTCCTTCCTTCCTTTCTTTCTCCCTCCCTGCCTCCCTCCCTCCCTCCCCCTAACAAAGAATAAAATACTTTCTTTTTGTCTGATATTATAAAATAAAACAAATTCAGTTGTCCACATTATTGCATCTTAATTGCATCAAGTTAGAATTGCATCATATACATAATATTTACTGATAATTCTTAAACAATATAGCTCTGCTTTTGAATACTATTACACAATCAAGATGGTGCTCTATTTGAGAAATTCCAAATTCCTGCTAATGACAGATCCTTCTGTATTTCTTTCCATAATATAATGCTTTGGATGATAAATCCTCTCATTGTTCCAAGAAATATAAAATGTGTTCTCTATTAATAAAAATGTCTCTTCCACACATAAAAGCCAAATACATTAAATAGAATTAAATAACAGAACAGATTTCTTGTTGAAAGTGGATCATGTATTTTGGCCTTTTATATCAAACCTTAACTTGTTAGTAGGAGGATTTTGAGAAAAATAGTCACAAAAAGTTATATATCTTTTATCAGTCATAGAACTTGGCCCTAAATCAGGAGCTCAGCAAAATATTCTCCCACATAATATATGAATATGTGCAAATATATTTTTAACAAGGGATGATGATGATGATGATGATGATGATGATGATGATGATGATGATGATGAAATAAATCTCATTTCTGTCAAACTTGACTTCTAGTGATTTCATGCATATAACCATGTAATTGTATGGCAACTCTATATAAGTGATTTGTCATTAGCTTCATCCTGGATTTTCTTTCCAACTTCCCAAATTTATATAGACTGGTTTCTCATTGACTCACAAAAGAGTCCATGCTTAGGTTATTAAGTTATTCCTAATTTTAAAAAGGTGAATTTGTAATAATGATTTATTATTGTAGCTAAGTCATGTAGAGTTATTTTTATCTAGGTGAAATCCTTTATAATAGTGTAGTCAGATTTGAGTCTGATTCACTTTACTTTGAGAATATACATCCAGATTTCAAGTATCTAAAATATTTTGCTAAACCAAGAAAGATTTTGAGAATATTTTTAAGGTTCTAATAGTAAGGTCACAAAGCTCTGATAAGTTTATATTTCAATATTAGATTGAGAGATATATGCCAGTTGCCTTCAAATGAATAAATTATGGATTGCAAAACCATGATTGCCCAGCAGAGTCACAAACCTACCTGCAATAAAATGTACATTGAACAATTTACACTTGACATGTTACACGGAACTATTTGTAAACATTTTTCTTTTTTCAGGCAAAAGTAATATTGTATACTACAACAGCTATTCTTTGAAACATCTAATATTTAAATTTACCTTCAGCTCTACTCCAGCTGCTGCCAGATATACGTTCACTACTATCTATGGCATATGAGAAAAATGGACAGACTAAAGCATTGTAATTTCAAATCCTGAAGATTAAAGTAGCAACCAGCCAGTTATATTGCTTCCTTAATTGTGCCATACTACATTTGCCAGGGCATTTTTAAAAATTGATTTGCTATATTTGTTATACAAGAAACCAGGAAAAACTTTTTGGTCTTCCCCAGCTATCACAAGAATGAGATAATGGCTTGGAAAATACTTGAAAAAAAATTGACAGGTATGAATTATATAAACCTGATCTTAGAGAAAAGTTGTTGAAATTAAGTTAGGAACAAGCCACTGTCATATGATGAATCACAATTAAGCATATTTTATCTAAACAATGTTACAGAATGTTGTTTTCCTACTTGACAATCAACATTTTATTTGACAAGGAAGGGTATTTACCCTACTTAGAAAAAACAAGATGTGATTTTTTTCAAGATATACTTCTTTGATGGAACTGTTTCTTTAATAGTGAAACATTGCTATATATCTACATTCTTTATTTGAAATCTTAGAAAAGAAGGATATAATATCTATTTCAGTCCCTAAGTAGAAGGTCAGTTATGTTCCATAGTGATGGGATCTACTCATAATTATTAATTCACCTACAGCTTCTAAACCAAATCTTATCCTCAAGTACTCTCATCTATATTAGCCAAATAATCTAAATATTTCTCTGCTTTTACTTACATTATTTGTTTTAGGAGGAATTACTATTTTTCATATAAGAAGAAAAACAAAAGGTAAAGCAGAGATAGACAAAAGATTAGAAAAAAAATTAAAACAAAACCAAAAACATAATATTTATTTATCAAATTTCTACACCATCCATCTCACCTAATTGATTCTGGGAAGTTTACAGATAACATAATTGTCAGAGTGTGCATAGCTGACTACTATTTTGAGACAACCCAGGAGCAAAATACAGTACACAGAGGTTTTCTCTTTCAAACAGTTGTTTATATACAAGTCTTATATATACATCCATACATACACGTGTTAGGCAAAAGCAGGCAAGCAAGCAATCTTTAACTCTACATGGAGAACTACAATGGAAAAAGATACATGAGGAGAGAGACACCCTCACATCTCCTCCCTTATATATACAGCTTCTTAAATTGGCAGTAACCCTGCTGACTCATCCTCATGTCATCATCTCGGTTTACAGCCTTACAGCAGCTGGTCAGCTATTAAATCATCATTACCCTGACATAATATATAATATATAAACATGGTTTGAAGCACAATTAAAAACAAAATTAAAAATAGGATTAAAAGTTACAAGTTAAAAATCAAAATCAAAATTAAAACAATTCACAAGACTTTTAGTTAGCAAAGTGGAGGAAATGCCCTCATGCCATTAGCTATCCACAGGGTTACATTATATTCTTAGAGATCGATGCTAATATGCAAAGCCAGGTCTTAACACATTTCCAGAAAACCAGAAGAGTGGGGACTCATGTCAACTCTGCGGGTAACATGTTCCAAAGGGTGAGGGCAACAACCGAGCAGCTCTCTACCTAGAACCTGTCAGATGCTGGTATCATTTGTTATCCTAACTTCTGATACCAATGACTATTATCTTAATAATTAGAATAAGAATGTCTAATTTTTATAGAGCCATATAAGGTTATGGAACAAGGAAAGCTAGCTTATTGGTGGTTGTTTGGATATTTACTTGCTGGCTTGCAGAGTGAAGTTAAGCTTTTAAATGGATTTGTAATTTCACATTTAATTTTTTTTTGTCATTTGAGACCTGGATGGCAGCAGCAAAGGGAATGAGTTTTTATTTTTTATTCCAAATAAAAGCTAACTATATATTGAATATATATTCTATATTCCAACCATAAATGCTGCTTTGAAACCCCATGCATGATTTCAGAAAGAGAGACTATGAATAATTATAATAGAATATCTCAAGTGCATCTTCTCAAACATCAGTTTTATTGGTGTGAATCTATTCTGTATATACACCACACATACAAATTTTGCACATTTTAATAAAATATTAAAAATGAGTTGCAGATCTGAACACTAAACAATAAGAATAAAACAGAATGAAATAATAACACCAATAAGAAACTGAAATAATAATAATAAAAAACTAATGTTCCTTTGTAGGATATTAAATTTAAACAGGAGACAGGCCTAAGCCCAGGAAAATAATTTTGATGTTTATTATTGGTTTTTTTTTCCAAAGGCAAACGACTCTTGTCGTTCTGTGCTCACCAGCACAAAGAATCAGAGACAGGCAGCATGTGAGAAGGAAATATACACATAGATTAAAATAAAATATACAATACTGTTCAGAATAACATGAATGTTTCAAAGATTTTTACTCATGTCAAAATGAGTTATTTTATTTCATTAATATTGCACCATTATTTATTTTTAAAATAATGTGTGTTTTTCTTAAAATGTGGCTTTTCTATAATAGTTCATTGAAATGTAAAATAAACAAAAATGGTTTGCAAATCCAAATATGCTTTATTAAAGAAAAG